AGTTCAGGGTCAGAGGTGAGTTCAGGGTCAGAGGTGAGTTCAGGGTCTGGTGAGTTCAGGGTCTGGTGAGTTCAGGGTCTGGTAAATTCACCTTGGTCAGTGGAAGGTTGTTGGGTAAAGACACCCCCTCTTCTGTCAGAAGCTTCTGTTCTTCTTCTGTGAGCCGCAGCTTGGAGTACAGCTGCACCTGTAGAAGAAGAAGAGTGAGTCCTGCAGGTCACACCTGACACTCTAAACGTATTAGAGACAGAGGTCTCACCTGGTCTCTGTCAGGTATGGGGGCGGTGCTTTGGATGCCATCTTGATGAGACGAATGAACCACTGGCAGCTCAGTGACAACACATGAGTCTGAGAACAGCAGCTGAGAACTCCAATCTGCACCAAACAGGAAGTGACATCAGCACAGGTGAGATGACCAGGAGGACAGAATATCAAGAGTGGATCCGACTGCATCGGAGGCGGAGCTCCGGTGGACGGCTGTGGATCCAACCGCGTCGGAGGCGAAGCTCTGGTGGATGGCCCGGGACTAGGCCATGGAGAAGATGGATCTCAGGTAGGCGGCCTGGAGCCAGGCCACGATGAGGTTGGAGCTCATGAGGGCAGCCCGGGACTTGGCCGCTGAGGAGAAGGATCTCAGGGAAGGCAGCCCGAAGCCAGGCCGCAGAGGTACTCTGGAGGTCCCGGCAGAGGAGACTCTGGAGGGGCCGGCTCAGGAGACTCTGGAGTGACTGGCTCAGGAGTCTCTGCGGCTGCAGCTGGTGATGAGAGCTCAGGTTGGATGGAAACCTCAGCTGCAGACGACAAGGAGACCTCAAACGCAGGCGGCGAGATCTCAGCTGTAGCAGAGGCCATGTGAACTCGGGAGCAGAGACCGGCATGGAGACCTTGAGAGCCTCAGGCAGACCCGGGGACTTCACAATCTGACCCGGGGGCTTTGTAGGCTCAGGTGCTGGCTCTGGCTCTGAGGATTCTGGTGCCAAATCTGGCTCTGTGAGCTCTGGTGTTGGCTCCGGCTCTGAGGATTCTGGAGCTGCAGCAGGTGTGGACAACAGCTCCACCAGAGCTGCAGTCAGGAACACAACCACAGGTGACACTGGAGGACGAGGACTCAGGGAACCTCTCGAAAGCAGCGCTGAAGGAGACGTCCATGACCCTCTCGGAGCAGGAGTGAGAGGCGTCAGGAATCCTCCTGAAAACGGCGCTGGAAGGCGGAACTCTCTGGGAGACGGAGACGGTGGGCAGACAGGTGAAGGGAGGGGAGCAGGTCTGAGAGCCAAGCAGGTTCCGACAAACAAAGTCCTTCTCTGCTCCTCCTCCTCAACCAGAAGAGGGAGGACCTCCACTCCCGAACCACGACCTCTTCGTCCACGTTTCCGTGCAGGATTTTCTCTTTCCTTTACCAGGCGCAGAGAGGTAGGAGTAATTCTTTATAAATTCAAAAACTGGTTCTCCCGGTGGGTTCGTAATCTGGCTGTTCCATTCTGTCAGGTTTAGTGCATGGAATGAACCCAGATCCGGATGGAGAACAAAGTTTTTAAATAAGAGTTTTATTCAACAAAACAAAAAGCTGACAGGGCAGCTAAATAAAACAAAACACGAAGGAGCCACGGGGAACACAGGAACAACAAGACAGTAGGAAGATTCCATGTGATGGTCCAGTGGAGAACGAACAGAAGAGAAGAGTGTTTAAAGCACAGAAGAAAGGAGAAAATGAACAACAGCTGAGGGGAACTAATCAGATAACCACTGACAGATGAGAGATAACTGAACAGGTGACCAGCAGGAAACAGACTGAGAAATGATAAGTAATGTCACAGGGAAGACACAAGAGGGAGAACACAGACAACAAAACACACATCCTCACAAGTCCAGGAGGACAAAAGACCAGGAGGACAGAGGACAATGAGAACAGAGGACCAGAAGGATAGGAGGACAGAGGACCAGGAAGACAGGAGAACAGAAGACAAAAGATTAGGAGGACAGAAAACCAGGAGGACAGAGGACCAGAATGACAGGAGGACAGAGGACCAGGAGGACAGAGGACAATGAGGACCAGAAGGATAGGAGGACAGAAAACCAGAATGACAGAGGACCAGAATGACAGGAGACCAGGAGGACAGAGGACCAGAATGACAGGAGGACAGAGGACCAGGAGGACAGAGGACAATGAGGACAGAAGACAAAAGATTAGGAGGACAGAAAACCAGGAGGACAGAGGACCAGAATGACAGGAGACCAGGAGGACAGGAGACCAGGAGGACAGAGGACCAGAAGGATAGGAGGACAGAGGAC